TGATTGTGTTTTGCGTTCCCAAACAGGTGTTTCCGGCTTTGTTACTCTATTTACTCTCTACTTTTCCAATGGGATGGAAATTTATATTCTTAAAAGTTTAAACTTGTAAACTCAGCTCCAAGGGTTGAGTAAGTATGTTTAGTTTATCATGCTCTATGGACTATTAACATTTTATAAGCTTTATATAAACTCTACAACAACAACAACAACCCAGTTAAATCCCACAAGAGTAGGGTCTGGGGAGGGTGTGTGTACGCAGACCTTACCCCTACTCGAAAGTAGAGAGGCTGTTTCCAAAGAGACCCCCGGCTCAACGTCGAAAGTTGTATTGCTTGACTAACTGCTACTTCATTAATTAAAGAAGCGCAGACAGTTTAGAGATCCATTTTGATTTATTCCATCACACCCCAAAGCCAAAAAATGGTGAATTTTTGGCTCCATCGGAGATGATGGAAAGAACTTAATTGATGTAAACAACTTAAACGATGTAAACTTAAATATTTCTTCTCTTTTAGAACCCTTTTCATCCCTTTTGTAGACTATTATGACTAGGCAAATTTTCTTTTAACTTGATGTAAATTAAATGTTGTTGCATATGCTTTTTTATTTGTGCCCACAGTATGAAGTGATGTCTAGATAAGGTGCAAATAGTGGAAACTGATAAACCAAATGTGGTTGATGAAGAGATGGAGCAAAATAAAAATACTTGTCTGTAGTCTATTTGCAACATCTCATATTCAACACCCCCAACAAAAAGCCAAGGCTTAGGTGTTGATATAATGTAACAGAAACATATGAGTGGTTTCTAGACAATCAGAACCAGGTACGGGTTGAATGTGTAGACTAAGACTAAATTTTCAATGCTAATTCGGCTCGTAATGGGACCAAAAATCTAAATAATCATTCCACTTCTTGTGCAAAAGAACCCACTCAGCAAAAAGCAAAGGTAAGAACACAACTAATCACTTAGAACCTGTTGAAGGTGAAGAAGAAAATTGCATCAAAAGTCAGATTGTCAATTTGGATACCTTAGAGAAGAAGCTTTAACTATTAGGATGTCATTACATGAGTTGTGTTTTAGATTTGTGAAAAAGCTAGGATTTCGATACCTTGTGTCTCTTGTTGTCCCGTATTTTCATATTCCTTCTCATATCACTATTGCAAGAAAGTGTTTTAAGAATTACTTCAAAGAGAAGGAGAAATTAAAATCAATCTTTAGATTTTCTTATCAAAGAGTTTATGTCACTACAAACACATGGATATGTAATCAAAATGTTAAGTACGTGTTTCTTATTGCCCAGGCCACTTCATTGATGATGAATATGAGTTGGAAAAAGTATATTGAATTTTTGTCAGGTTTATAGCGACAAAAATTGGGGTATAAGAGAGAAATTGGGTTTATAGTTGCCCGCTTTATTGGACATTTGGACATGTTATTGGTAGTGCAATTAATGATTGTCTAGATTCTTGGGTATAAGTGAGAAATTGTTTCCCATCACAGTTGATAAATTGAGTTCAACGAGTTCTCATGATGTGTCATGTACTTATCTAAAATGGTTGGCATCACAAAAGGGTTATTTTAGTGGTGGGCAGTACTAACACATAATATGCATTGAAAAGGTTTGGTTAGCTCTAAAATTCGTTAAACAATTCTCTTGCTAGGAATGTTTTTGATTAACGAGTTGGTTGATAAAAGCAAAACTGATTGCAAGTGTCATTGTCTCTTGATGTTTTAACTACATGAAACTCGACCTATAAAATGCCGAACACTATGCTTAAATATAGAGCTGTCAATGGTAAATAATGTTTTTTAAGGAAGGCCCTTCCGTTGACGAGTAGGGTACGGTACTAAGACTGAAAGGCTTGTTGTATTTCTTAAGGATTTTTATGACTTAACTACTCGTGTATCAAAGGTTTGTGACTAGTAACTCCTTGTTCTTTCATATTGGTCATACTCGTTATTTGTTGAGCCAATGGTCATTGAAAGTTGATCAAATTTTAAATTTATGGAACAACAAATGAAAGAAAAATATGATAAGCATGGGGATATTAAAAAGATGAACGAGTTGATATACATGGGTATTGTTTTTGATCCAAGCCAGAAGTTTATTGGCATTCGACTAAGGCAGCGTTCTGTTCAACTTATTTTTTCTGCTTATTACTTATTCTTATTATAATCAGACTAGATCAGAAACAACTTCAATTATAACTGCAATCAGATCAGATTAAATCAGACCAGATCTTCAAAAAATTAGATCAGTTCAGGCCGTAATGCAACCTAACTTGACAAAGGGGAGAAAATAGCTAAAAAAAGAGTTTGCTTATGAGTTGTTTAATGAGTATAGCCTCATTTATGCTCCCTAAATTCCTCAAAATATGGAAGGTTATGTTTACATTCCAAATACTCCATCTTCAAGAGGAACTAATGATGTTTACCTCATGAGCTCTTGAGCAAGTAAAAATGAAGATGAGAGGATGCGATAGAGGAAGTGTGTTTCTGAGAACAAAATTTGATAGGTATTTAGATGAGATAATGGGTGACGATGAAGAGAAAAGGATATTAGCATGGTGGAAACTTAATGAGCCAAGATTCCTTACTGTTGCACACATGCCTCGTGACATCTTGGTCATACAATTTAAACCGGTGCATCCGAATCTTTGTCTAGTGTAGGTGGACATCATTTGGATCCATTTCAAAGCTCTCGAACCCCTAAGAAAATGTACTACTCCCTCCGTCCCGGAAAATTATCTTCCGAATTTGACTTGACACAATTTTTAATAAAATGAAATGTTGGTGGTTGTAGTTTGTGGAGATGAAAGAGAATTGATATGGATCACATATTTATTTCCTTAAAAAGAAAAAGGAAGAAAATTTTGGGACAACCCAAAAAGGAAAGAAGGAAGATAATTATGGGACGGAGCGAGTACATTTTATTATTTGTAGTTTCAACACATAAATTATTCACTTTCTAAGTCTTTGTTAATGTTATAAGAGCTGGTTAAAGCTCTTATATGTGAGCAAGATTAGATTCATGGACAACTTCGCAAGCCAAAGCTTGATATGGAAGAGAACATGGAAGAGTTAAAAATTGGAGAGAGGTATAATAACATAAATATTTGCTTTATGCATTTTATTTAAAGAGTTTAATATATAATTTATGTGGTGATGCTCTTCCCTTTTCAGATTTGAAGGATGTAAACTTAGAGGATGAATTGATATGATCTTTGTCAGAGATAATGAGTTGTTTAATGCACTACTCAAAACAATCTCTTTTGTTTCCATGTTACATTGGTACAAATAGATATTTGTCACTTTTAATATCGGTAGTTGCCGAGTTGGGACTTTGTACTGGACTTTGGGAGTTGGGACAAGACTTTGTTTCACTATTGGTTTTTATATTTATATACTACATTTGACTTTTTTCGAACAAAATTGACAAACTTTGACCACAAATTAAATAAAAATGGTATTAGATATTAATACAAGAATAGTTTTATTAGATTTATTTAATGAAAAATTTTCCAAATATCATTTTATACAATTAATATATTTTATTTAATTATAGGAGAAAGGTTAAATATGGTTGACTGAAAAAAGTCAAAACAGGACAAATATTCAGGGACAAAGGTAGCATTGGCTATGAAAGTACTAGAGTTTGTATTTTGGACTATTTGGAATAGTGGACCTTTTTTTGAAATCTTGAAAGTTTTTATTGGAATTATGGCTATCTTCATAGATATTATCCATGTGGTGCATTTACGGTTTGTTGTTATTTTTGCATCATACTAGTTTCAAAACGTAAGCTATGATTGATGGATCAAAAATTCAAAAGTATTAACAAACATGCATTTAAAATCGGTCAAGTCAGTGAGTCAGTCCAAAATAATTCCATGTAGTTCGGTATACCATCAATTACTTTTAGATTTGATCTTGTTGGTTAATTCCAGCCCTGTATTTGGTTTAAATTTAAAAAAAGGCAGGCAGTTACTAGTTACAGTTGGTTAGAAACTGTTGTGTCTATTTGTAATGGTTGTGTTGTTTAGTCCTCTATTTATATGTATGGATACATAGTTCTCGACAACAGTTCCATAACAATAAAATACTCTGTTTATATACTCTAGATCTGATTTTCTCTCAATCTCCAGAACTGATTTTATTCTCTCAATCTTTGGTTCTAATTTTGGTTCACTTTGGTCTTTGGTCTGGTCTGTTCGGGCCAGTCGTGGACCTATGAACATCTCTAGTTCAATATGGGAGAAATTTGACTAGTTGTAAAAATAGATCTTTGGCAAGCCGTATGAATTAAATTTAAACGAAGTGGGATAAGATTTCAGAAAAAGTTCACCTTTTTAAGAAATGGAGAGTTTATTTTAGACGGCCAAGATTAAAACAAGTCAAAGGTTTAGTTTGAGATTAAGGGAGTGTATCTTATACTTGTGTCTTAGTATTTTTGTGTATTATTTATAGAAATGCAATATTGGTTTCATATGTTTCGACTGTACAACAACAAAGCAATATATTCCCACAATGTGTAGTGTCAGGGGAGGGTGTTTGTATGTAGACCTTTACCCCTACTTGAAAGTGGAGATGCCAGAACCAAGAGCCCCCCCCCCTCCCCAGCTCAAGAATATGTTTCAACCGTTATTAAAGAAAAATTAATGGTTAAAGTTTGGCCACAATTTTTCGTGAAGACACAACACTTTAGGACCTCAGGGGGTTAAATGTTATTCCACTTTAAAACACTTCCTGAACACAATTAGGGCCTTGCATATGGCAGCTCCTAATCACTTTTTATGCAGCCACTTGCCATTTCATTTAGCTCCTAGAGCGGCTTATATGCACATGAAAGCTGTTTTTATGCTTATTGTTTGAGACTAAATTTTTTTAAAGGCCAACGTGAAACAAGGGGCAGGCAGAAATTTAACACATAATTGCACTCAAAAAAAAGGGGCAATATGCACATGATTAGGCCACACAACACATGATTAGGCCATATTTTAACAATTTCAAATGCAGAATTCCAGATGCTTTAAGAAACAATAGAATGCAATAAGAAAGCTGGTGTAAAACAGAAATAATTATATGGAAAGCAAAAAGTGAAATTGAAATAGAAAATCTGGACAGCAAAAACCACACATCCCCTATCTTTCTGAGATGAGGAAATAGACTGAGAAGATGAAACATTTGCATATAATACCTGGAAGTTCTGTCATGGAGGTGCTACAAGCAAATTTCTTCTGCAACTCAGAAGCCAATACCTCAGCATCAACAAAAAACGACTCCAGCCCAGAAAGCTTGGTCACTTTCTTGTTGCCTTGCCTCCTTTCTGTCAAGATCTGAATAGGTTTCAAAGTACCTTTGCGAACAGCTGTATCATTTCCTCTTGTAATTCTATGATGGGGTTGCATCCGGTTAATAAAAGTTGACCCTATATCTTTCTTATGAATTTCAGTTGGATAAGTGCATCCCCTTTTCATTGCTCCCTTAAATAGGGCATCACATAAAATTGCATCAAGAATGACAAGAGATTTGTTTGTTGCTTTAACAAGTTTCTCTTTCTCAACATACTGGAAAACTATTTCAGAAGCTTCTGATGCAGTATATAGTTTATCCAGATTTACTCCTACAGCTGCGAAAATTGGATTTACATGAACACTAGGTTTATAAATTTCAGTTACATCCAGTAGTCTTGGTGACTGCTCTTCATTAGAAGCAGCACCCGCAGATTTCCCAGCCATTCGGGCCTTTTTCTCTGGCTTAAAGGATAAATACTCCGGGTGGTTCCGGTTAATTGAAACCAGATTTACCTCTTTCTTATGTTTGTCTTCTTTCACTGAGATCTGTGCATGCCAAATAACTTCTCATCAGTTACATATAAGAAATAGTTTGCTCTCAACAATAAAATCATAGAATATGAGTGTCAACTCGTAGGAATATTATAGCTTCATGGCAGGGCAAAAAGGAAGATATAAGAGGAACACCAACAACAAACCCAGTAAAATCCCACAAAGTAGGGGTCTAGGGAGTGTAAGCGTACACAAACCTTATGCACCTAGAGAGTAGAGAGGTTGTTTCCAAAAGGCCCCATCTCAAAATAACAAAAGTACCCGGAAAAGAAAAAAGAATAAGTAAGGGAGAACAGAAAAGGAAAAAAGAAAGAAAGGAGCACAAAAGAAGCAATCGCACGCCTAGATACAATAAACTGTTGCAGCAAGTCCTACAGAAGGGTAGACCACACCCCAAGACCTACCCTACAAGTTAAGGCCAAAACCTTGGTTAGCTTCTGAAGCAGTAAGTCATGTCTAACCACCTCATTCCACCTCTTGTTACAACTACCTTTACCCCTCCTAGCTACCCTACCTCCAGCCTCTCACACCCCCTCATGGCTCAGTACTTCTCCTAAGCATGTCCCCAAACCACATCAGTCTAAAGAGGAAATATATCTTTACTTTTCATGGCAAATAAAACAAATAAAACATATTATATTGAGCTATGGAGTAGAAAACAAGACTGCCTCACTACACGAACATAGTTGATGAAACTAAAGGTAATATTTGACAATGTTTTTGTTTTGGTTAAATAATGGACTACATCAATATGAAACATTCAACTTCCTCTGTTTCTTACTTTATAAAAAGTTTTGGGCGGTAAATGATGTTATATATTTTAGCGTAATTGGAATAACTACTTGACCAATGGTATCAGAATAATCATCAAAGAAGTTTGGTGAAGCGGAGCGCATGCTTCGTAGAATTTGTAATGATAAGTCCCGTTTTAACGGGGGTTCCAAGGGGGCAACGCCCCCGAGCAGGATTCAAGGGGCAGCAGCCCCTGCGGGGTCCAAGGGGCAGAGCCCCTGGCTGGGGCAAAGTGTTGTATTAAAAATTCACTTGAATTTTTATTTTTGGTTTTTGTATTTAACAAAATACCGATGGAGAGTGTAGCTTTATTTCGTGCAATTGGACACGACCAATGGAGAAAGCCACGAACGGCAACTCTTCGTCCATTCCCCACATCTATAAAATATCTCACAACTTTGGTCATCAAACATAGGTTCAAAAAATTCATTACAATTTATACCTGTTCTTGATCAATAACTTGAGTTTTATCTGATTGATTTTGGAGTGAACGCCCAAATAATCAAGCTGATAGTGTTATCACGACTCTCAAATAAATCCGTGTTATCTACGATTTCCCCAACAAATGAAGCACTGCATCAAGGGTCTAGTGGAAATAACCTTTGCAGTAAGGTTGTGTACATCTTGATCAAAGAGTGTTGAGGTTATACTTGGGATTAATTATGCTAGAAACAAAAAAACCAAAGTAGTAACCACAAAGACAACGCTTACGAGTCTCCAAAACTTTGCAGTCAAACAAGGTAAAATATTCTAGCTGTAAATGGTCAGGTAGTACGAGTAACTGGCAGGCTCCTTAAAAACATGGAAGTGTGCCATCTTAACTGTCACTCCTGATAGTTCATACTCTATCCAGCCAGCAATACAAAACAGTTAAGAAGGATGTATAGTTAAAGGTTTGGGCAGTCATACCCATCCTATAGAAGCTTTAGCTTGTAACCACTTAGATAGTTTCTTGTAAGAAGACTTCTTTATGTCTAATGATATGCCAGATGGCCTGCTTGGAAGAACATGGTTTGACCTGTACAACAGAATGCAATAAGAGACACCATCAAATGTGTCAAATGTAAGCTAGAGTTACAGACGTTCTCCCCAGCTAAAGCTGTATGAAGTAAAATGAAAAACATCGTCAACATTTTGAGCCGAAATATAGTTGTAAAATACTCCTTCCTTCCCTAAGTAAAAGTAACACCTTTTTTTCAGGTGTCCCAAAATAAACTCCACATTTCTTTAGTTTCCTATTGAGAAAAGAAATAAGTGATACACATCTCACTTTCTTCTAAGTAAATTTCAGCCGCATACTTTTCACTTTTCAACACTTCTCTTGAGATTCGTGAAGCCCAAATGTTTCTTTTGGGGGCAGAGGAAGTATATATCTGATAGCTCTCATATATCTATATGTGATTTAATATGCACAGTACCATGCCATAAGCAATAAGACAGACTCCTCACCTCAATTTTGTTCTCAGGTACACATAGTATAGAGGTTGTAGTTTAACTAATAAAGATAGATGAAACAACACATCGATAAGCAGTCTCTAGAATAGGGTCTATTGGATCCAAAGCAAACCAGGCACTAATGTAATGTGGAACACATATTTGTCAAAGGTTTCTGATAGAATTTAGGATGGGTGTGGACAACTAGATTAGGCAATAAGACAATTGGGTTGAACCACATTAAAAGATTGAATCCAATCGATTAGTTAGTTCAACTCAAGAGCTTATATACCGATTATTTTCCTCTTGAATTTCCGATGTGGGATGCACTCTAACACTCCCCCTCAAGTGGACAACCGGGCCATTTTGAATCTAACCGGTTGACCACTTGCAAATGAACTCCCATTCCCTTGACTTTTTTTTTGAGCGCCAACACCTAAAGGACCACGAGCCGCTGGGACCAGACGAGCAATCGTGTTAAACGGGCCACAGGCCGTTGGGTACATACTCCATACGGACAACTGGGCTAAAGACTAACGGGCCGCTAGGAATGAACGTCTAGACGGATAACTTGACAAACGAGGTGGGCCAAAACCTACTCCGATACCATGATAGAATTTAGGATGGGTGTGGACAACTGGATTAGGCAATAAGACAATTGGGTTGAACCACAATAAAAGATTGAATCCAATCGATTAGTTCAACTCAAGAGCTTATATACCGATTATTTTCCTCTTGAATTTCCGATGTGGGATGCACTCTAACAGTTTCTTTGGCTAATGGTTGAATGCTCCTAATGTGACCCTTTCCTATTGAAAAGCTATTGATATATCCTCATTAGAAGCCTCACCTTGAAAACTTAACCCCAGGATCACCAACAATGTGGTACCTTCTTCGACACAACTTCTGATTTCTGAATTTTGAGATATGACAGGTTCCTTACGAAATAAAGTTAAATATAAACACAATCCCCAACCAAGGTTTTAAAAGGCCTTGGTCAAGCCTTGTTCTAGGCTTCCCCATCCTTTCTTTACTTATTGTACTCCCCGGAAGGCATGTCTTCCGTATGAGGGGCTGGCGTTTGGCCTTGGTTTGGTCCTCCCCTCACTCTGTGGTGACGAATAGATCTTAATAAAACTCGGTAACCAAGCTTGGTGGTTTGCCCACTGGGAGTTAAAAAAAAGGCGAAAACAAGCCTTGAGGCAATTACGCAAAATGCCTTGAGGCAATTAGGCAAAATGCCTTGAGGCCTAAGTCTCGAGGTGGAACAAGGTGCAAGCCTCAGTTCAACTTGAAAATAACAACAACAACAACCCAGTTAAATCCCACAAGAGTAGGGTCTGGGGAGGGTGTGTGAACGCAGACCTTGCCCCTACTCGAAAGTAGAGAGGTTGTTTCCAAAGAGACCCCCAGCTCAACGTCGAAAGTTGCATTACTTGACTAACTGCTACTTCATTAATTAAAGAAGCGCAGACAGTTTAGAGATCCATTTTGATTTATTCCATCACACCCCAAAGCCAAAAAATGGTGAAATTTTGGCTCCATCGGAGATGATGGAAAAGAACTTGAAAATAAATAACATAATAAAAACTATTGGGTACAACAGAATGCACAATCCATAATGATGTAAAATAAGTCATAAACTCATACATAGGTTTTCATTTAAGCAAAAAAAGGGGGGTACATAAAAAGGCAATAAGATAATCCATATTCATGGTGTCGTTTTGAGACTACAATTTGAGTCTCCAAGTTTTAGACTACTCAAAACTCAGAGTATCAGTGTCTAGAACATTAATATACAAAAATAGTAATAATAAGTTTTAAGATACTTCAAAAATCACAACCAAGAGACTAAAAAAGCATCATATTTAAGAAGAATAAATGACAAAAAATTCAGCTTTAAAAAAAATCTTAAATTGTAATTATTATAAAACATCACTCACTTGATATATTAATTATTAACATGACAAAAATAGTTCTTCAAAAAACATTACTGTCAAAATTAAACATTACAAATACAATACTTTTTTTATTAAACAAAATTCATAGAGCTTAACTATTAATTGTAGATGAAGAGAGATGCTTGAGAAAACAAACAAGACAAGAACTTTCTCTTTAAGTTAAAAAAGTAGAAGATGAAGTAATTAGAAAATAAAGTAATTGAAAAATGAAAAAACCTACCTTAGTTCTGCTGTTGGCTGCCGCTAGAGAGAAGAGGTGAGAGATGGCTACCAGTAAGAGAGAAAAATGGATCCTAGAGATGGAGAAACATCGACACAGAGGGTGTGAGATAGGGCGACAGAGAGTGCGAGACAGAGATGAGAGACCAGAGAAGGAGAAGCTGCGGAAGGTGAGGTTTAAGTCTAATTTACGCTCTTTGAATGGAATCTATAAAAAGATTTCAGTTTTTTTTTTAAATAAATATGCACAACCCAAGTTTTTTGATGGCCCAATAAGTTTGTTAAAACTTAAAAAACTCTTGAAATTGGCATAGCACTAAGGCTACCGCCTCCCAAACACCTTAACCGCCTTTCACCGCCCCAGATAAACAAAGCGTAGCCTCATAGATTACACCTGGTGCGGACGCCTCTGAGGCTAGATTGGACCGCCTTACCGCCTCAAGGCAGATTGCCTTTGTCGCCTTTTAAAACCATGTCCCCAAAAAATTTTAAGTACTACATATGGGAAATGTTTATAAACGTAGCTTGACCCATACCATAACGTACTTCCAGGCATGGGAAGGTCCTTCTCCTTAACAGTTGCATGCAAGGCATGCAACAGGCATTTGTCTAGCAGTGCATCTATGTCTTCTACAGACATGGGATGTTGGACCTCTTTTAATTCTTCTGAGAGTTTCTCTATCACCTTCAGTTCAACCATATCCTCTATTAGTTCACTATCTTCATGTGCAACATCAGATTGAATTTTTGAAGCTTGATCACAACTCGAAGAAGTGGCAACATCCACAGAATCCTCTACTGCTCCTTCATTATCATTGGTGTTAACATTTTTCATGGGGTCTTCACCTTCATGTGATTCAGAGGCCTCATAAGTAGAAACCAAAGTAGGATCCTCAAAAACAACATCCTCTAAAAAGCCAGCATTTGGCACATAAGGATTTTCAGTTGCTTCCCTGAAAAAAGATATTACAAAAGGACCAAATTTGAAATCAATGCCAAATATTACTGGATACATTTATTTGATAACTTTTAAAAGAGAGTAAGAGACCTTACCAAAGTGTGTCCCGATAGTAATGGCATATT